TTTAAATTTTTTGAGACAGAGTTTCACTCTGTTGCCTGGGCTAGAGTGCCCTGGAGTCAGTCTAGCTCACAGCAACCTCAAACTCCTGGGCTCAAGTGATCCTCATGCTTCAGCCTCTCAGGTAGCTGGGACTACAGGCACAAGCCACCATGCCCAGCTAACTTTTTCTATTTTTTTTTTTTTTTTAGTTGTTTGGCTAGTTTCTTTCTATTTTTAGTAAAAACGAGGTCTTGCTCTTGGTCAGACTGGTCTCAAACTCCTAAGCTCAAGCAATCCTCCCAGTTGGCCGCCCAGAATGCTAGGATTACAGGTATGAGCCACTGTGCCCGGCCTGTGTTATATCTTTTTTTTCCCTGCTATGTATAATCTTTTAAAGCTAACATTTCCTCTTAGCTACAAAAGTAATACATTTTCAATGCAGAAAGTTTGAAAAATAAGAAAAAGCACAGAAAGAAAAATAAAAATGACTGGTAAATCCACTACCCAGAGATAATTATTATTAAAACTTATTATTATACCTTGCCAGTCTTTTTTTTCTATGCATATACGATTACTAGATTTGGATTATATGTATTTGTTTTATAGATTGTTATTTTCTCTCAGCAGCTTATCATGAACATTTTCCATGTCATTTAATATGCATTCTTTTACAATGATTTAAAAGTATTTTTAGAAGAGTTTTATTTTACAAATTATTCTTTTCTCTCTTTTCCTTCCTCCTTCCTTCTTCCTCTCTCCTCTCTCCTCCCTTTCTTTCTCCCTCTGAAAAATCTTTCCTATCCCTTCTTCGGGGCATCAAGGATCCAGACTCACCAATTTCCAGTGTGTTCTTCTAGAGATATTCTGTACATATAAAAAATACATATGTACATGTTTTTTTCTCCTTATGCAAAAAATGTTAGTATATTTTGCTCCTTTCTTAATAAGGTTTCTTAGAGATTGTTCCCTATCAGTATTTAAAGAGCTTCCTTGTTCTTTAACATATGATAAAATGCTTACCTTACTCATACTAAAGGAAATACAGATTACAGCTTATACTGGCAGACCATTTTTTATCTGATTGGCGAAAATAAAATGACATTTTTCATTTTCAACTGTATAAGGAAATAATAACAATAACAGCCAGGCACTATTCTAGATAGTTAACTTTTAATAAGTCATTTAATCCTCACAGTAGCCCTATGAAGTGTGTTTTATATTTATACCCATTTTACAGAGGAGGAGATTATTGCATAGAGATTTTAAATAAATTATCCAAATCACTCTTATACAATGCGGGGGGAGAGTAAGCCACTGTAATTTCTGTGGAGAGAAATTAGTCAGTAGCTATAAAAATTATGCATTTACTCTTTCCAGCAATTGTAATTCTGGGAATTTGTCTTACCATTTACTCTCACATGTGAGATACTGTGCATATACAGGGTTATTTATTGTAACAATGTTTATAATAGGAAAGTGTCAAGAGCTGAATTGAGCTGGAGTAATGGCTCAAGTAACAATGAAAGCAACAGTCAAGCCTTTAATTACTCATTGCTATAGTATAAATAAGAGGCTAACGAAGAGAAAGTGTAGGTACCCCAATGTTCTCTCTTCCTCATTGAACAGCACCACGTGAGGGTCAGGTGGATCAGTGCAGATGTGGGGTTTTCTCACTGCCAAAGGAGCCCTGAACAAAAGATTTCTGCCATTTTATGGGCTGCAGGAGGGACAGGAGAAAGGGCTAGGAGTAGAAAAGCTCTGAGTGCTGAGTCAGAGTGGAGAATAGTGTTTTCAAGTCTCCCTCCCTCTCTCTTGTAAGAGAGTCTCAGTGCAAGTGCCTGGGAAAGGCCTCAGCCACTGAGTGCCCCTGATAAAGAGGCCTACAAATGGAGGTGTCTGGACTAGGAATGCAGATATGAATAATAGCATATCTGGCCAGGGGGGCCTGAATCCTTGACCACAACTTTCTTCCAAGACTGCAGTGCATCAACTGTGTCTAGTCTGGTGTGAAGAGGTCAGCTTTCTCCATAAGGCCTGCCAGGTAAAGCCTTTGTAATTGTGGCTGGGCCTCAATGATCACACATAGGTTTTTGGCCAGAAGTCAGACTCCTCACTAAAATTTGAAATAATTTAAATGTTGTCTAGTAGGGTATTGGTTAAATATATTTATGGTACACCCATACAATGTTTTATAATATAACAATTAAGTCTGATTTGCATTGGCAACATGGTAAGGATTCTAGCTGGAAATAGATGATTTACTTAAAATGAATAATTGAAGAGAGTTTACAAAAGGTTAGAGAATGACACAGCAACCAGGGCTGGCAACAGGGAAGCCATTACTATCGCTAGGCCTGAAAACGGGTGCGAGAGGGAATAGTTACAGAAACTCTTGAGAGCTGAAGTCTTCAGTAGAGAAACATAGCCACTGGCAAACTATAGCCCAATAGAAAGGAGGTAAGGGAATAAATACCCTGACCTCTCTCTTTCTGCCCTTTCATCAAGATCATCTATCTCTAATGGATGTTTCCCATCTGCCAAACCCAACCTGAAGCTAGAGGGTAAAGGGAACCTGTTTGATGAAGTATATAAAAATGAGCCTTCTAGGGCATGGAGCAGGGTGGAAAAGAGTGGATAAAGTAGAGAAGGGTACATGTTGAAGTTGCATAAGCAATCTAAACATCCAGTTCAATGATATTTCATTGTATAAATATATAATTGTTTAATCATCTATTCTTAGGCATTTAGGTTGCTTCCAGATTTTCTTTTTGCTCATTATAAACATTCTTTTATTTAAGTCTTGGCATATCTATTCTAATTTCCATGTGATACATTCTTAGAAGTGGTTGGGCTCCACTTTTAAGAGTTTTGATATATATAACCTCCAGAAAGATTTTAACAATTACCTTCCACCAGCAGAATGTGAGAGAGCTGCTTGTTTTCCTGTGTTCTCATTAACACTAGGTATATTATCACTAATCTTTGCCAGTTTGATAGGAAAAAAGATTACTATTTTAATTTGTATTTCTTTGGTTACTAGTTGAATTTAAAAATAAAAAAATTTTATTGGCTATCTGTGGCTTTGTTAAATTATTCCTCTGTTTTAATATAAAACCCCTTGTATCCTTTGTGCCTGGTACCCTTTAATCCATAGATCCTCTGTTTTACCCTCTCTGGAGAATAAACACAATATTTTACAGTGGTCTTTGCTTTGGTTGCTTGACTAGAGTGAGGGAAGAGTTGTAGTGGTGTCTAACTATAATAATTAACCAAATTTTCAACCAGGTTTTTAGTCCTTTCACACTACCACTTTCCTCTGCTCAACTTCTAGAAAACACCTACTGCTGCTAATCCTTGAGCTTTTTGGTGATTATGCAGTATGTTTTGCTTTGGTTCTTGACTTTCTCCACTACCAGCTTAGGATTGAAATTTCTTAGGTCTTCCAAGTAAGTTACCACTCTTCTGTCTACTTTCTAGCTTTCTAATTTTTTGGTGGTTTTCTTCTTCTCCTGATCTCTTTGTCCTTATAGGTTATACCTTAAAATTATATAAGGTCATTTTAGTGAGCTTACTGGAGGATGTGGAGCTAAATTCTTGTCCTCAACCTTTCATCTTTAATAGGAAGTCCTAGTTGAAACTGTTTTACTGGCCTTATTCGGTTGTTAAATACTATAGTGTCTCATAGACCTGGGAGGGATATGAAGAATAGTTGTGTAGACCAGAGAGCCTCCAAGTTAGTCTCCAGTGTGAGGAGGATACCTCTATTGATGAAAATTCTTTTCATGACCTCTTAGAGCAGGGGTCCTCAAACTTTTAAAATAGGGGGCCAGTTCACTGTCCCTCAGACCATTGGAGGGCTGGACTATAGTTTAAAGAAAACTGTGAACAAATTCCTATGCACACTGCACATATCTAATTTTGAAGTAAAAAAAACAAACGGGCAAAAACACCCTCATGTGGCCTGCAGGCTGTAGTTTGAGGATACCTGTCTTAGAGTATCTCTGTGCTCACATTCCTAAAGGTATTAAACAGTTGGGTTGCTCATGCAAAAGCATTTGTCAAATTTGTTCATTTGCATGCAATTTCATGAATCAGAGAGGCATACATATGTTATATCCACAATGCAGATTAGGCCTCTCAGGAATATATTAATAGCAAAAATGTTGAGTAACTGATGATGCATAGGCTCTGACAGTGAGAATGAACAGTGGCTGAAACAGTTCAGAAGACCTTCTGCTGGGCCATGTGTTACCCCTTTATATGTTGGGTTATTCAGCATATAAAAGGCCATTCAGGGAGGGAGTAGGAGTTGTCAGAGTGTGGAGAGAGAGAGAGGGACAGTTTGAGAGCTCAGTATAGCTGCTATTTGGCAACTAGTATGGATATATTTCCATATTTTATACTAGGAATGGCCTTAGGTACATATAACTAATTGTCAGCCCTGAGCCTTTTCCCTTTTGCTCCAACTGTGCTGCCCTTGTGTGGATTATTTTCCCTTTCTAGGATGCTCTAGATGTTTGTTTAACCTATGTTGCCTGTCACTGTCTTGTTTCCTCTACTCAATGTCTTTTTCAGCTTTCTACAGATAATGGACCCCATCTATGGACTCAAGCCTTGATCAGTGCCTCTGGTGGCAGTCTGATCAATAGTAACAACCTGGTGCTTGCTTTCCAACAAGAGCCCAGGGTGCACAGGTAATCCCTGAGTTGTAATTTCTATTCCATCCCTCAGTCTTGGCTTTCTGTGTAGGGTGGCCTTTTGGCTCAGGTTCCCTCCCCAGCATCAGTATCTGGTAACTTTTGATGCATCCTACTTCCTTTGATTCCTCCCTTTCCCAGTCACTTTTTGTAGTAGTGTTGCAAATGAACAGATGTATTATAGCTTGGAATCATGATATAACTACCTATGTGGGTACAATTGCCGTCTCAGTTCTGCTACCTACCTCTGAATTGCATTCCTTTGGTATTGATGCTTCCCCAACCCATGGCCAAGTTTTTCTGTGCCCTTTTTTTTTTTTTAAATTTTCTTCCAGAAATATTTTAATAAAAATTGGCCATTTCCAAGAAGCACCCACTGCATGCCCTTCAGAAAAAAAAAGAGAACCATAACAAAATAGAAAATTTACCATGTGGCTATGATTTAAAGAAAGAAAATTGCAGACACTTGAGCACATCAGCAAAGTCCAATATTAATGTCACATTCCTTCTTATGGGCTATGATTAGGAATCTGCTTAGATACCAAAATAAAAATACAAATGTTGAACTATTTAGGTCAAAGGACCTCTATAGAAGCATCTGTCTTCAAAGGCATTCCAGTTTGAGACTCAATCTTAGAATAAGGCATAACAAATATTAACAGAAGACATACAAGGTGATGAAACAGGGATTCTACAATTCCCCACATACTCTGAATCTGATAACACAAATCTAGATTGTTTTTATTATTTTTCTTTAAACAATTGTCAAGACTGGAATCAAAGATAAATAGAAGGCACAACAGTTTTGCTCTGTTTTTTTGTTATTTGCATTTGGGGGATTTTTTTGTTTTTTGTTTTTTTACAAATACAAATTAAACATGAAAAAACTCTACTTCAAAAAAATCTAACAGTTCAAGAAAAGCATATCAGTTGCAGTCTAGACATTTAAAACCTATCTCACAATTTAAATTTTAATGGTAAAAACAGGTTTTAGAATTGTTTTGTGATCAAATATCAAAAGAAAAAACTCTATTAACACCTTTTATTCAGTTTTTAACCATACCAGTGAGCATCAAAATTGTCAAATTTTCCAATGGCAATTTCTCCACACCAGAAGGTAGTCATGACTCTCAAGGAAGAAACAATTTGGGCTTTTCCCGCCTTCAAAATGTTTATCAAATCCTGTATTTCTCACAGGCTTTTGAAACACGTAGAAAATAAGTAAGAAATATTCCAATGAATGAAACATACCAAATGTCAGTAATGAGCGAGACATTCCTTTGGGGAAATGGCTGTTAAAAAAAAAATCCAGTCTGTATATGCAAAGTAAGCAAGGAAATTCAGTCTTTTCTTCTTCTTTAAAAATCCGTTACTCCTAAAATATCATTCCACAAAATTGGAAGTGAAGGACTAAAGGTCAGGAGAGGGAAGAGACGGGGAGGGAGCACACACCATTAACACAAAATGAAAGTAAAATTGTACAAACTTAAGCAGTTTATAACAGACTAGGATCATACTCCAAGATACCAAAGGCTGGCTGAAGAAATTCACCATTCTGCAGGAGTTAGGGTGTGAACTGCTGTGTGAAGATCAGTGAGGAGCAATTCACTGCCTTGGAGCGATCCCCCTTCCCACTCCAAATCCTGGTTTCTGCACCATGCCTCCGCGGGGAGGGCCTCTCATTCCACCACCCAGCCCACCTCGAGGGCCTCGACGGTCCCCTTCCCTGGCAGCTCGAGTCTTCTTCTCCACATTCAGACGGACCTCACCTCTGAACATGATGGGCCTGTTGCTAAGGACCTTCTGAACAGGCTCAGAATCATCAAACACAACAAAACCAAAATTGGGTAACTTCCCACCGCTGTTAATGCGTAGCTCCACCACATTCCCATAGCTTTGAAAGAAATCTTTAAGTTCTGATTTGTCCACCTCATGAGGCAGGTTGCCAATGAAGAGTTGGTGACTGTCAGGGTGTCTCACAATTCTTCGGGGTTCGACATCACCTTGCTCACCAGCCTCACGAATTGGTCTGGGGCCTCTCTGGGGAGGAATATTTATTCGTTGTTCTCGAACTCTTTGATCCCTCTGAGGTCTCTGTGGTGGAATCTGAGATTCAGGCTTAGACTCCGGACGAGGCTGTGAAGCTGGTACTTTAACAACATGAGGTGGTATCCCAGTAACTGGAACAGCTCCACTGGGTGGAAGGTTCTTACTGGTCACAGATGCCCAAGAAAAAGTCCTCAGGTCTTCCTGTACTGTTTGAGCTATGTCTGCAGGTGCTGGAGAAGAACTCTTCTGAGTATCCTCAGGAGGAGTTTCTTCTAATACTGGCTCAGACTTTTCCTCTTGGATTTCAGATACAGGTTCTTGCTCTGGTTCTGGTTCAGGATCAGGCTCTGGTTCAGCAACAGGCTCCTCTAAATGTTCTTCCATGTCATTACTGACAACAGTCTGATCATAGAAAGTTCCAGAATCATCAGGAACCACCTCAGGCGTCTGCTGTCTTTCTTCAGGTTCCTCTACTTCTTCCTCAGATTCCTCCTGAGGCTCAGTGACAAAGCCACCAAAGACCTCATCTTGGTATCTGAAGATATCATTGTGAACATAGAACTTATTTGCAACAGAGCCCTCAGGAGCAAGGACAAACGTCTGCATGAATCTCCTCAAAGCCTGGTTGTTATTAGAGAGAAGCCCCATCACCTGGACCACCACACCATCATTCAGAGTGGCATGAGCATCAACATGGCGAATCTTGGTGTGGCAGTTGGTGAAGTTTTGTGACATCACTTTCCTATGGATTTCCTATGTAGCATGTCTGGGGCCTGGTTCAGCAGCGTATAATACTGTCTCACAAATTCCCGCCCGACCAGCAGGGGACTAGGCTTCTCCATCACCATTGCTTTGGTCAATTCAACCTGGAAAAAGAAAGTCAAATATGTCCAACCTGCGCAACAGAGCGGGAGAGGAACAAGCTTTGCTCCGCTGCACTGAGGATGGCAGGAATCCCGCACGCAACTGCGTCCGCCTTCTGTGCCCTTTTGATACTATATTATAGTCCAGCTGCTTCCACAGGACTGTTTTATACCTTGGAGTGGGCAAATTACCACCCTAAAAAAATCAGTGTTGTGTTAGCAAAGATGGAGGGAAGAATGACTGACAAGTTAGCTACCAACAGATTTTGGCATATAAACTGATATTGGAGGTTCCCAACTGGAAAGGCCCTCTAGAATATTTAATGATGGAGCTCACAGTGGGCAAGTGCCACCCAAATACTCAGAGCTTCCAATTAGCTTTTTATTCCCTCACTCTTAAATATTAACATGAGAAGGTAACCAAAGATTATCAGACATTTGAAGTAAGCCACATGTACAAAAGAAAGATAAAACCATGAAAAATAATTTGGAAAAGACAGAGACAATGTAGGGAGAAGAACATTTTTTTAAATTATTGTTAATCTCAGAGACATGAGGGAAGATATAATCGTGGAGAGAAAGAATATAACGAAAGGAATATTTAAGGAATAAAAAAAGTTCTTAGAAACCAAATATACCACAAAAGTGATAAACTCAATAGAAGGGTTAGGTAATAAAGTTGAAGACAACTATGAATATAGAACAAAAAATAAAGGAAATGAAAAATAAGGACAAGAAAGAAAGGAAAAGAACATTAAAGTGTCATTCTAGGTCTAATACTTAAATATAAGAGGTTCCAAAAAAAAAAAAAAAACTGAGAAAATAAGAGCAGACAAATTTGTCAATGAAATAATTCAAGAAAATTGCCTAGAACTAAAGGAATCAGTTTTAATCTAATTTCATAAGGTACATCACTGTGAAATTTCAGAACTTAGAAGACAAAGAAGATTCCATAAATTCCTACGGGGACAGATATTAAAGAAAAAAAAGTCGTATGTCACAGACTAGGAATCAGAATGGTCTCAGATTTTTCAAAACCAAAACTGAAATCTAGGAGGCAAGGGAGCAATGCCTTCAAATTTTTTTCAGCATATTATGGGGGTACAAATGTTAAATATTGCCCTTGCTCTCCCTCCTTCCTCGAGTCAGAGCTTCAAGAGTGTCCATCCCCCAGATGGTGCACATCACATTCATTGTGTATGCATATACCCATCCCCTCCCAATGTTATTCCTATATGTCCACTTAGGTGTTGATCAGTTAATACCAATTTGCTGGTGAGTATATGTGGTGCTTCTTTTTCCATTCTTGGGATACTTCACTTAATAGAATGGGTTCCAGCTCTATCCAGGAAAATACAAGAGGTGCTGTATCACCATTGTTTCTATAGCTGAATAGTACTCCATGGTATACGTATACCACATTTTATTAATCCACTCATGTATTGATGGGCACCTGGGTTGTTTCCACATCTTTGCAATTGTGAATTGTGCTGCTATAAACATTCGAGTGCAGGTGTCTTTTTTTTTTTTTTTTTTTAACAACCACATTCCAGAGTATAGGTGTCTTTTTAATAGAGTGTCTTTTGTTCTTTTGGATAGATGTCCAATAATGGGATTGTTGGATCAAATGGTAGGTCCACTTGTATCACTTTAAGGTATCTCCATATTGCTTTCCACAAAGGCTGAACTAGTTTGCAGTCCCATGCCTTCAAATTTTAACCTGGAAGTTTGTACCTAGCCAAATCGAAGATAGAATAAAGATGCACTAAGGCATTGAGGGCAGCTAGTCCAGAATGGAGAATTTCAGAAGACTCTGGAAAAGCCTTCTTTAAGAGGATATAATTGATATAATACCAGATATGTATGAATGTGTTAAATGGAAATTTAGGCTAGCAAGGAGATAGAGGTTAATTTAAAGTTAGGGAAACAAAATCAAACCAGATGGAAAGTTAAAAGTGATGCAGACCTGGTGGCTAGTTTGAGCAGGGCAGGAGATGGCAGTATAGGAAAGACACCACCTAATAACAGGAAGGAGATTCTCTTGCTCCAAAAGCCAGAGGTAATATATGATCTGACTGGGCATTTATTGGTATTTGGTTCCTCTATGGCTTATTTTATCCTCACTTCTTAAGAAAGAAGTGCCCTCCAATGTCAAGGATGTTACACTTATGGTTTTATTATCAATTTCCATTAGTACCAAAAAAAATAAATCTCCCTTAGGCCTTAAGTCTCCAAATTGTTCCTTTCTAGGCAGTTTCATGTCTTCCACACATGCTCAGTCTACCTGAAATACTGTGACATCAATGATGGGATTTATGTTACATGTGAACATATGGACAATAATACCTGTTTTGTTGACTGTAGGTAATAGAATCTCTGTTGTAATTGCCAATTAGAAAAATGCTTCTGTAGTCTTGTTCTGGCATCCTACTGGGTTTAAGTTGGGCCTGTAGTCTGTGTCTATTTCTCCTAGAGCTGGCTGGCTTATTTCTTTATATCAGGAACTTCATACTGAAATCAGCTATTTCTTAGTTTTTCCACCTGCAATCACTTTGTTTAGAACCTTCAGTAACTACAGGGAGATTTGTGGTCCTCTCCCTCCCACTTCTCATCCCTCTCCCTTTCCTCTCTTCCCTCTCATCCTGTGCATTGCTCTGAGCTTTCCTGCATAGGCAGGAGGGGTATTAGGGCCCTCTCCTTTTTGAAAAGAAAGAGAACTTATTTGAGGTTTAAAAAGATACTTAGTGCATTGGGTTAGCTCAGACTGCTATAGGAAAATACCATATATTAGGTGGCTCAAACAGATATTTATTTCTCACAATTCTAGAGGCTGAGAAGCCCAAGATCAAGGTGTACTTCAACCTGTTTACTTCCCAAAGGCCCTATCTCCAAATACTATAAAATTGTGGGTTAGGGCTTCAATTTACATATTTTGGGGCGACATAGACATTCAGTCTATAGGCGTCCTCAAACTATGGCCCGTGGACCACATGTAGGTGTTTTTGCCCGTTTGTTTTTTCACTTCAAAATAAGATATGTGCAGTATGCATAGGAATTTGTTCATAGTTTTTTTTAAACTATAGTTCAGCCCTCCAATGGTCTGAGGGACAGTGAACTGGCCCACTGTTTAAAAAGTTTGAGGACCCCTGGTCTATAACATTGTGTGAAAGCCATTACCTTTCTCTTTTTCCTGTGAGCTTCATCAGAAATGCTGGTTGTAGCCACTTGTGCATTTACTGATGGACTATTTCTTGTCCGCTGTTTATAGATCAGTGCCTCTTAAACTTTAACATACATACAATCCACCTGGGTGAATTTTGTTAAAATGTAGATGATTTTGATTCTGGGGTAAAGTTTGAGTCTATTTCTATCTTTCAGACAATGCTGATGTTTCTGGTATAGGGACTGCATTTTGAGTAGCAAAGATGTAGACCACTAATACTCAGAAGTTTTTAATTAGAAATTTTGGAGAGAAAAGATTTAAGCTTTGTTTACAAATATCAAGCATGATTATGTGAAAAGGAGCAGTGGCTGTCTAATCAGTATAGCTTGATAGGTTAAAAATCATAATTGTTTCAGGTAGTATATTTGAGATTATAGATCTTAGACTTGGAAATTACTGAAACTTCCATTGACTAATTGTCTCTAGATATTAAAGATTTTTTTTTCACTCCCCCTCCCCTTGATATTAAAGATTTGTCCTGTGATTGGAATGGACAAGAATATTCTCCTTTCAGGAGGAGTAAGGGAAGGAAAGGACAGAGATAGCATAGAGGATGTTAGGATAGAGATGTATTAACAATATTACTTGCTAAGATCTCTCTCTTCAAACATGTCATTGAACATTATACTAGTATTTCTCAAACTTTAGAGTGTATAAGAATCACCTAGGGTACTTGAAGGCAATCCAGATCACTGGGTTCTATGTACAGAGATTCCAATTTGATGGATGTGACAGTGCCCCTTTAAAATACACTGTCACATCCATCAAATCATCCCAGGTGAATCTGAAGTAGTTGGTCCCTCGACCATGTTTTGAGCAACATTGTATTAGAAAGTCTGGTAGTAGTCTCTGGAGGAAGAAAAGAAAACCAAACCAAACCAAATATTTTCATCTATTTTTATTGGAGTCTTTTTGAGTTATTATTGTAGAAGAGAGAAATAAAAGACGTCTCCCCAGTGAGTAGGCAGTTCTGTCAGCCATCTAACTGTAAATTAGGCAGGTACGAACTCTGTATCAGCACTCTGAGGCAGGACTGATGGCTACAATTCATAGGAACATGGAATTTTAGAGCTGATAGGAATCTTAGCAGCTTTCCAACTTTTAAAGCTGTGATCCATAGTAACAAAACACTCTAATTTTTTGTTATATTTAAATTTAAAAAATCTGATCGTGTCCCATTGTATTGATTGTATGATTAGTATGTTATAACTTACTTCAGAATTACCAATCTAGTGCAGTCACTTCATTTTGCAAATGTGAAACAAGTTTAGAGAGAGAAAATGACTTGTTTAAAATCACATAGGTTTAAGTACTAGATCTCAAAGCTAGAGCTAAAATCTCAGACTTTTAATCCAATAGTCTGTCCACAATGGCCTACTATATATCTAAGTGCTTGTTTTATTGATCTTAGCCTGTTTTCTCACAGGACAAAGCAGTCTATGTATGTTTACTAGATTGCCTATCTAGTTGAAGCATTTTGAAGAGTACAAATGTCTTTTCACTAAATGAACCACTAGATGGTAGTGTAAACTCTTCTGTTGGCAGACTAGTCAACTGAGCTGAGGTGAAATCAGATTTGTATATTTGCATCCTTATAATACTTTACAGATTGGTTTTTGCGGATAAGCTGAGCTTTATGCCTATCCCAAAGAAGCTATTATATATGAGTTTACAAGCAGGATACATTTTGTTATTTGGTATATCTTCTGTCATTTGTGTGGAAGAGACATTTAGAAAAACACACCCATATTTGCTCCCAGTATCCCCAAAAGGGCCCTCTTGTTTTGTATTCAATATATTTTTCTTTTTCAGAACCCTATCTTATAGGACTTTAAAGAATCATTTTCTGTTATTTCAGATTTAAAACTAAATTCTTTTAGCATAA